TTCCACTTTGTCTGAGGCTATGCAGCAATTTCAGTATTTATCAAGAAAAATATGTGAACAGATGGCCGGCCAGCTATGACCTTTATTCTTATAGAAAGGGTCCCTTTGTATAGCCTATTTCTAATTTCTCCTAAATTTGTTTTTACCTTTTAGATATTTGTGAGTGTTCTCAAGAACATGCCCCCCCCCAATTCCACCATGGGGCTGGAAGGATCACATCATCCCTCATCTGTGTGTTCCTCAGCAATAACACTGAGAAGTGCACAGAAGGAAGACCGTGTGAGGACACAGGGAGAAGGTGGCCATCTACAAACCAAGGAAAGAGACCTTGGAAGAAACCAACCCTACCAACATCTTGATCTTGGACTTCTGGCCTTCGGAATTATAAGGAAATGAATGCCTACTGTTTAAGCCACCCAGGTTGTGGTACTTTGTTCTGGAAGCCCTAACAAATTACAACAGAGACACATGGGTATCAAGGGACTCTTCTGGGGTCACACCCAAGGAAGACAGAGTCAAGCTTCTAGCACTATTCTTCTTTCTTTCTGCTGGAGTAATACTTAAAATAATGGTGGTCTGTTCTTCGTGTTAATATTTTTATCTGTCAATATTAAGAGATTAAGATGGAGAAACTCAAAGTAGCATGTTTAATTCCATTTATTTTGGGTTCTTCTACTAGCTGAGACCATCTACTAGATGGGAGACCATCATCACCACTGAAACAACAACAAAAAACACTGAATAAACTATGAAATCATTTCTTTTTAATCCACTGGAGACGTGAGGTCTCGATGAAGTTGGGAGTAAGAACTAAATCTCTGAGGTTCTGAGGGATTGAGCCCTTCGTAAGTGAGCAAAGACCAGCAGCCACAAGCATTCCCCGTGGCACAGGCAGGATGAGGAGCTGAAGCAGAGGCAGACAGAGGATCTTGTGTTAGTCCGAGGGAACCAGCCAAGTCCTTATCAACTGTGTGAGCTGAGAGGATGGATTAGATCTGGAGCAGGGGTGCGCTGAATCTTTTCCACCAGACTTTTTCCAAGTATGGTGGCCTGCAGGATGCCGGGACAAGAACAGAGAGCAGAATGGTACCTCCACGGTGATGTGGGGACTGGGATCTAGGCTCTTCCGGTCCTGCCTCAAGACATGGGAAACCAGTGGATACCCGAAAGCAGGTAAAGTTCCAATCCAGATCAACCCGCCTCAACTCCCCATTAAAGAGGAGAGAGAGCATCTCCTGAGCCCTGCTGCCTCATTGTCACTACAAGAGAAGCCGGCTGAGGACAGGCTCTCAGAGAGAGAGAAACAATTGCTGAGAAGCCCAGGCCAGCCAGGCCTACCTGAGGTCCAGCCTCCTGCTCTGCTCCTTGGTTCCAGGAGCCTGGAGCACCGATGTGCCGGGTGGTGACGCCGGTCTGATGTCTGTCATTTCCAACCAAAGGAATCTTAATGGATGTACAACACAAGTCTCAACCAATGACTTATTCTGGGCCATATGTACAATTGTTAGGCAAACGACTGCATAAACTGGCAATATACAGTTTCTGAAGAGTTACGGCACCTTCTAAATCCTCATTACAATTCACTTTATAACACTACAAATGTGCCAAACAATACTACAAAATAACTACAGCGGTTTTCTAAAATAATCTTAAATGATGTCTACATAAAGTAGACATCAATGTCGTTGCAGGAGCCACTGCTGGATGGTGTATCTGTTTTTTAACAAACACACCGAAACACAGTAGGTTTCCTAACCTGACAGGGCCTTGTAGGAAGTGTAATGTTCTGCCGTCTACCTCGACCATCCCATGTTACACGTCCCATGATGGAGAATACAGAGATTGAAATTGTTACTAAAGCCTATGAAAATGGGGAGATTCTAAACTGAATCCAACCAGAGAAATTAAAATGAACATAGAAGACAAAAAGAAAGTTTTGAAGACTAAGAAATGTTTCAAAATAAACCAAAGCACCATTTTTGCTGTTGAGAATAACCCCCAAAACCTTCAAAAATTCATGCTGTGACCAAAAAAGAAAAAAGAAAAAAAAAAGAAAAAGAAAGAAAGGAAGGAAGGCTCGCAGACTCCACATTTTTCATGCCAAGTTCCAATCTGGAGTGACACTTTATGAATCATTTTATAAGGTCCTAAAAATAAGAAGCTATAACGGTAATAGGATCAGCCTATCCTCTCCCTGGGAGCCCCAAAGCCTGCTAGAAATGCAATCTCAGTACTACCTACAAGAAGACAGTGGGTCCTTCCAGGTGGCCTTGTCCCTGGGCTAGTCCCTTTGTCCGCCTAGAGAACAGGGTAGCTGACCACAGTTCAGCTCCCAGGTAAATGGAGCGCCTCATGGAGAAGGAAGAATTATCAGACTCTTCCTCACCTGCACGGCCAGCTGGTTACTCCTAGGCCAGGTGCAAGGTTGGGGTAACATAAGGTCCAAGGCAAAGCACAAGGACACCTAGGACAGCCATGTTCAGCCATAAAGAATATGTTCCCATAGGAAATCCTGGATGATTCATCTCATTCCTATTTCCAGGAAGCCTAAAATGTGTCTTGTTGGTTTCCCAGAGAATTATTTTCTCAACTTCTCAATGGAATTTCTAGATTCCCAGGAAGTCAACCCACCCTTGATAGGGCCTGACTGCTTTATTGACTAAACCTATTAGAAGGCCCACAATCTTTCTCAACACAGGAATAAAATGTATGGAGTATGTCACCCAAAGCAAGAAGGACTAGAAGGAAATAGATACACTTCTCCGGCGTCTGTGCTCCTCCCTGGGACACAGTCTGCGCTGGCCTTACATCACTCTAGCACCGCAGAGCACAATGACATGAGAAGTGGGGGCAGCGAAGGGGAGAGGATTTTTTAAGCAAATTCAGAGATTTCTTACACAACTGCTCTTATTTTAATATCGTTTCTATCACATCCACCCCACCCAGGTTTTCTTCATTTAATTTCCTCCATTATAGGCTCAACACTCAATCAAAAGTGTGCCTTGATCACAGCCTCAGGGACAAAAATGCAAACCCGAGCACAATTTATCACGTTGTCAGCAATCCTGGGGGTTATGCATGCCCCTAAAGAGGATGGTGGGGGGTAATGAGACAAATATTCTACGATATCATCCACAAGCACCCTAGGTTTCCGATCCAGACCAGCAGTCAATGAGTGCTGGCTTGAATTGAGGTAAAAGTGAGAATAATATGTACTTGCCCTTGGACTTATTTGTGGGCCCCTGCCAGGTGGTTCTCACCTGAAAAACCCACTTCTGATGGCCCACCGGTGCTGTTACTCAAGTTTAATACCCCTTAGTGCAGTGGTTCTCAGCACCAGCTGAACCCTAGGAACACCTGGCGAGCTTTTAAATCACCAGATTCCGAGACCGTGCTCCAGACCAGTGAAAACAGCTCTCCAGGGGCAGGACCCCACTCGGGAGTAGTTGTTAAGCCTCTCCAACCCTGAGACCCACTGCCTTGGCCTCATCCCCCTGCCTCTGAAATGACATATTCAGATTAAGCGAAAATGCACACAGATATAGAATGACCAACAGTCATTCGAAGGCAGATTTAAAAACAAAACAAAACAAACAAAAAACTCTTCCACCAAGACTTTCAGGGGCCTGATGTTTAAAAGAACACCCCAACATCAGGCCCAGACATACAACCGACCAACTCCCCTAAGCCCCTGCTTCCAAGTCAAGAGCATGTTTTAGTCACTGGTCATTTCCTGCTGAGATCCACCTTCGCCTACTTTTGTAAGAGGACAGGAAGGAGCAGAGCCAAACTCTCATGTACGGTGGCATTCTCCATCCCTCAGAGCTCTGCGGGGGTTTCATAGATGGCCTGGATTCAGCCAAATCACCTCCACTATCTCCCTGCCAATGCAGACCAGCTAAAGAGGGCTGCTCCCTGGATGAGGTCGGGTCTACAGGCAACAACTGAGCTGGGCTGCAAGGCTTGCTCATACATCCGAAAGCTGTCCTAAAGGAGGGTCCGAGCACGGATATATTTCTGAGGTCACTGGAATACCAAACAGAGACACTACATTTTTTTTTTTATCCCGAGATTAAGTCTTTAAACTACATAAGCACAACTTCCAAAGCTCAGCCGTGGGGTCCTATGCCCTCAGGCCGGGGAGGAAATGCCACCCATGAGCAGCCGTTTATCCATCTTTATCAGGGGACACTCACAAGAAGACTGCTGGTGACACAGCGGTGACCATTTCTTTGACTGTGAGGTGTCCTTAAACACCTGACCTTGAGTCCACAGGTCGCTCAAATAGAGAGAGGCACAGAATATAAGAACCCTGGGTTCTCGCCCCAAGCGACTTAGTAGAATCACCTCTAAAAACACGGACACCCCAGTCACACCCCAGACCAACACTGGGGGACACGCCAGTGCCAGGCATCACATAAAGCAGTGGTTCCCACACCTGAGCACCCAACAGAAGCACCTGTGAAGCGACCGATTCCTGGACCGCGCCCCCCCACCCCCCCGCCAGGTTCTGATTCAGGAAGTCCCGCCGGGCTGAGAACGTGCAGATGACAGGGTCCCAGACCTCAACTCTGATGCTGCTGAGAATCACGGCTCCCGAGGCCCTCCAGGGTGCACCCAGGCCTGAGGAATACCCCCCAACACTGAAGAGCCAGCTCTGGCCAGGGAGGGAGGCAATTCTCCTAGCTCTGCCTGCCAGAATTTGGTAAGAAGTACGCCACTGTGTTGTGGGGAACCTCAACTCTTTCCTGATCTATACAACTGGGGCACTGCATCAAGGAGATACTGGGAGCCTTTCCTTTCCAAAGGGCTCCTATACAGGAAATGCCAACACTAATCCAGACAGAGAGGGGGAAGGCAGTGGCCTAAGGGGAGATAAACAAAACAGCTTCAAAATACAGGGGAATGTAGGTGGTTGCTCACGGGACTCGAGTGTGTCTGGGGATGTGCTGTACTGCCGAACGGCATGTGTGGTCAAGCGTGCTGTTTCCCAGACTCACCTGTTAGAACCTGGCAGAGCTGCCCAGGACCCTGGGCCTCGGTGGAGGGGCTGGGTGCCGAGGACCATTTGCGCCTGACCAGATGCTCCCGTGTGCTGAGCGGGCCCTGGGAATTGTTGAGGGGCTGGATGAGCACCTGCTCCTGCCCAAGCTGGATGAGGCCAACCTGCCCAGAAAGAGGAAAACGGGACATGAATCACCCTCGTTCACGCACACCCACAACCCCGACAACCCGAGGGCAGCCAGACCGCCTGGCTATGGCCTGGGCCTCACGACTGGGCTTTTGCTTTACATGGTGCTCTGATTCACCGAACCCAAGAAGGAGCTTCTGTGGGCCTTGAAACATCCAATCCCATGGCTGTGTTGGGGAGAGGGGCATGGCGCGGGGTCAGGGGTGCAGAGATAACATGTAGCAGCACTGACTTCCCAGGTTCACTTTCAAAAAAACGTATTATTAGTAATAGAAAAAAACTTTCTTTTAAAAATTATTTTTAAATTCAGCCTCCAAAAGTCTACTTGATGAGGCAATGCCAAAGCTGTTGGGGATGAATGACAAGGACATCCTTAATGAGGGGGGGAAAACGCATCTTATCCCTGGAGATATTAAGAATGAAAGACAATGGAGCCAGTCCTGTATCAATATCAACGTATCAATATATCAACAGCTTTGTGGCAGGGGATTTATACATTCTTTCAGAACTTGTGGTGTTTAAGAGAAATCGACAGAGTCTATCCATTAGATGAGATTTGTGAACCTAATTTAAAGTTCATCACGGGCTTAGATTTGTGATTTTAAAATCTTAGTAAGTTTAGAAGCGGTATTAGAATGTGTCAGAGAACTTAAGACCTCCCACGTTTATAGGACTAACTTACTGGGTTTGTAGGGATCACTGAAACAACTTGCAAAGGGCTTCTCAGCCAACCAGAGAACTTGGAAAAGAAACTGACTATGTTACATTTCTCAACACAGTTTTAAAGGTTTCAAGGTTGTTAATCACCAAATTTACAAGAGGCGCCGAATATTATCCAAAGCTTCCTTGAAAAGGATTGCAAAAGACCTTCAAGATAAAGGGGATTAAGAGTATAGTTATCTAGAGGAGCCTGGGAAAATGTATGGAATTTTTGAATCATATTGTATGCCTAAAACTAATGTAACACTGTTAATTATACTTCAATAAAGAGTTTAAAACACTTGCTAGATTAGGAATAGGACACAACTTGTAAATGGAAGGAAAAATTCAAGAACTAAGATTTTTCATTTGCTCCTTTAACAGAGTGAATCTTAATTTTAAAAAACATTTATATGGTGCAGAGAACTCTTCCCAGCCCTTAGAACCAATGCTGACACATGAAACCGATTTGTGCTCCTTCCCTGGGATGCCTGCTGCTAGCTTCCCTTCTGAGGTGTCAACAAAGCAAGGTAAACCTCCAGCAAGGAACCCCACTGGGCCCCAGGCTAGAGGACCTGAGTTTGCACGCTGGGCTGCACAGCCCACGGCACCTCCTCCAGGTGGATGCCCCGGACCATCCTAGCTAAACAGAGTCCGCAGCTCGCAGGTCAGTCTGGCTGAAATGAGCATCATCTCTCCTCCCTCCCCACCCCGAGCCTCTTTTCTAAAGGCCACATGTGAAAAACCACCTGGGCGTCTTGGGTAGGCCCTGAGAACGTGCATTTCTAACTAGCCCCCATGTGACCCAAACCTCTGCTCTCTAGCACAGCAAGGCCTCTGGTCTCTAGGACAGAGCTTGCTCAAGCCAAATGGCAGATCTCCTCGGCAGTCGGAGTGGATGTCTGGACACCAAACTTCTCCGAAAGTAAACCAGATCAACTCATGAGATCGCCTCCAAAACACAGGGGAAGTCCCCAAAACACAGGGTGAGAACTTACTTCCGGCTCCTAGCAGATTTCAAGGTTTCCATTTCATTAGAACTTCTGCCAAGAACAACTCCGAGATTTTACTGCCCAAATAAAACTGTCTTGAAGTGGCATTGCATGACCCGCGGGAAAGCACAGCTTTCTTCCCTCTCCTTTGAAGTGAGGACGTAAATTTGCTCACGAAGATACTTTGGGGAGATGGAACGAGTGGAAGCAGAAGGTGGCCGGGTGGCAGGGGGGCGGGGCACGCAGAGCCCTGCTGGGGCTGCTCCTAAAGAAAGCCTCGGTACAGAACACACACCTCACCGCAGCGAACACTTCCATGGGTCACAATAAAGTTGGCAAGTGGGGCACAGCATGTGGGATGAGCCCCACATGGAAGGTGCCCCGTGCTCCCTGGAGGATATGCTCAACTTGAACTCTGCCTCAGATGCTCTGGCTTTGGCAGGTCACCAGCCCCCTTGGGTCTAGCCCTTTCAAAGCCAGGTACCCGTTTGGTCCAGTGCTCGCCTTCACAAGCGATGGTGTAAAAGGCCAGGGAACGGGTAACTCTCGTGCAGTGTGACACAGGGGCATGGCACACAGGTGCACGGCACACAGGTGCACACACCCAAGCCACCAGCAGAAGTAGCCCCTTTGCTGTAGCAGGTCTTGTTTGCGGGGACACACATGCTGGTTTCCACCCCTTTGGGGAGGACAGTGGTAACAATGGTAAGATAATTACGTGGACTGACAGTCTGGACTCTACCTGGCAGCTCTTAGCTTCCTGGGACGCGGCTTGCAAGCGGGCATGGCCAGGACTAGCATTGGGAGCAAAGTCGCCTGGCACAGCCCTGGGGGAGCCAGAGCAAGGAAGGACTTTGCCCCGCCCCTCCCTCCCCCAGTCTCAGGCTGTCCCAAGACTCCCTGACAGGTCTCTTCATGCTCATCCTGTCATCACATTACCAATGATAAAATGTGCTGCTGAAAAGTGCCACTTGTGCCCCTTACACGCACACACCATTTAGCCCCAGGGCAAACACTCACCAGCCCTCCTTATCCTTCCCCCACTTTCCCTCTTCCTCCTCCCTGCCCGCTGCATTATGGGGCATTTGCCACCACCTGACCGTTTGAGACAGGATCACAATTAGCTCTCATTTTTTCCAGTATCTGCCACAGAAGTTACTCAGGAAAATGCAAACAGTGTAAAAGAGAATGGATTGGAATGCAATGGAATGGACTGGACCAGCAGGGCGTTTCTGCAATCCCCTTTACTCACAGGCTCTCATCCCTGGCTATGCAGGAGAGCCATCTGGGAAACTCCTGATGCCCAGGCCTCACTCTGGGCCAACTGAACCAGAATCTGTCAGGAGTTGGGGGGAAGGGAGCAGGGACTCAGGCCCTGGTACTAAGAGCTCGCCAGGAGATCTCAAAGTGCAGTCAGGGTTGAGAAGCACCCTGCTAGCTTTTAGCTAGGTGCCAGAGACACTGGCCACCTTCTGCCTTGACTGAGATGTCTGAAGGTAGCCTGGGTTTGAACTGGACCTTCCTCTGACCCTGGGGCTCTGCCCTGGCCCGGCTTCCAGCCCCCAGCTGCCCGGTGGCCCCAGAAGCTGGGCGGGGCTGCTTGGACTTGCATTCATCCCCTGGTCACCACCTATGCTGAGAAACGAGACCCAGGGATGTCTTCCCAAGGCCTCCGTGTCATACCAAGGACAGCGAGCGACAGCAGCAATGAGCCTGAGGTTGCGGGAGATGAAAGGGGCCCACAGACTTCATCCGAAGACCCAGGGCTGTAAGGGAATGCCCGTGGCAGACAGAGCTGGGGGCCCAGGGGCCGCCTGGTTTGAAAGGGCGCAGTCATCCTCCAGAAGTGGTGCTCTTAAAAGAGAAGTCAGCAGTTCGCTAAGATGCACAGTATCCTCCCAAAGCAATGTGCGTCCAATAAAATGCATCAGGCTGTAACAGTTCTGAGTGGCTCCCTGGCGATTCTCTTTGTTCTGGGGGATGGTCTGAAGTGTTTCTGTGCTGCCTTAGGAGAGCGTTACCAATCAGGTGGTGTTAACTCCGGCCCAGGCTCCGAAGCGCGATAAGCCCCCCTGGCCGTGTGCAAAATGCATGAAGGACATACAGACTTTTCTCACCTGCGGACGTCAGCACGACTTCTCAGCAGAATGGAGCAAATGCTTTTAAAATAACGTAAAAAATACACATACAGTCTCTGTCCTGCGGATGCTCCGGGACTGAAGGGCACACCTGAGGGGACACCGCCACATGACTGTCCACCTCGCTGGGACTTCAGGGCCCAGGGAACACTCTGAGTCCCTTCTTCAGAAAGCTGTGGCTCCTTGGTTAGCCAGCATGACGGGGGGGGGGGGGGTCTTCTCCCCATTGACAGGTTAGCGTGGGTGGTTCAAGAGTACAGAGCAAATGGGGTTGTTAGTCTGCTTCCTGCATGAGCCAAGTCTGCTTCCAAGAAGGAAAAACAATCCTGTGACGACAGGCCCTCCTGCACCTGCCTCCACCTTTCTGGGGGGCCTCAGCGGAGCTACTGTGGCAGGAGCATGCCCAACCCCACAAAGGCAAGAAGGGCTTCCCAGCCTCTGTGCTGAGTCCCACTGCCCCCGTCCTGGAGTGCCACCCAGAATCCCCTTCAAAGGTCTGCTGCTGTCTCTGCAAATGTCAGGTACCTAAACAGATTCCTGGTCTTCTTTCCAAAGCCAGCCTCCACCCCCATAACGTGGACCAGTCACCACCATCTTCTTCCCCTTTTTGATCACTACAGCCAGTCACAAAGACGGGCAGCTCTTTCTTCAGATTCTCTCTTGCATAGACGCCTTGCTTCCCACTTCCACAACCCAAGACTTGAGCCTCGTCACCTCGTGTTTGCAGGCACCCTCCTCCTCCAGGGTCCCCCACAGTGTTATCACTAGCACCCCCCCCAAGTCAAAGGCCAGAAATGCTCCTCATTGCCTTGAGCCCAGTGATCCTCACGACGTGGTCCCCAGCCCGCAGCAGCACCTGGGAACCGGTTAGGAGTCCAAGCTCCAGGCCCACCCATACTGGCTCAGGAACTCTGGAGATGGGGCCCAGCAACGAGAGTAAGGAATCCTCCCAGGAACAGAGCTGAGAACTACTACTCTACGATAAATCCGAAATGCCTTAGGTTGGTCCCCAACCTAAGGAGGCCACCAACCAATTAGATGGCTCACTTCATCCCCATGCTTGTCTGTTCAGTTCTTCTCCTACCATCTCCTAAGATAACCATCTCCACTCCCACCCCCATCACGTAGCCACCTCGTGGGCCCCGA